CCTTGTTATTTCTGGTAACTAGTGAACCTAGATATATAATTTTTTTAAGCTTTCGATGTTATAGTCTTCTATTGTTAGAATTTATAGGTTTCTTTGGCCTGTCGATTTACTGTCCTTCATGTATTTGGTTTTTATTTCGTTAAAGTTTAGGCCACTGTTTTGTGCCGCTCTTTCTATCGCACTAAATGCTTCTATCATCTCTCTTTCGCTTCTAGCTATGATATCAACATCATCTGCAAATGCCAATATTTGTACACTTTTTATTATTATTGTTCCTCTGGCATTAACTTTTGACTCCCTAATTATTTTCTCTAATGTGATGTGTTGAATTAAATACAGGATAAGGCATCTCCCTGTCGTAGGCCTGTTGTCACATGGATTGTATCTGTTAATAAAATTTTAGATAATCTAAGATACGATGGAAACAATTACCGTTTAATATTTATACCTAACAACAAAAGACGTTGCTGTGCAGGAGAAGGGTGTAGCAGTAGTACTCGAACAATGTGTAGCAAATGTGATGTCGTCATGTGTATTGACTGCAATTATACTTTTTATATGAAGACATTATAATTAGAATATAAAGTTTATTGTGTTTCTAAAGAATTTATTTTATTTTAATTACGGTACCGTAATGACTGGTTAATTAATTTTAATTAATAAGTTTTTGGGTTAAATGAGTGTTAGTTTTTCTATTATTATACATTTTTAGTAAAAATATATTAAAAAAACATACAGAAGTTAAAACACTTTACAATTGTATTTCGGTATAAAAGATATATAGTTTAAACTTTTAAAAAGTGTCAAGATTTATATAGTAGCATAACGTCTTCTATCTAATCAGATCATCCTTAGTGCCTTATGTAGTTAAAGCTAACAATAAAGTTTTGGCTGTGACATCCTAATATGGGTTTGGATCATTCCAAATATAAATTATGCTGTGAATCTAGGTCGATGAAATTGAATAAAATTTAATACTTTAGGAGCTACATGTCTCACTGCTCGGTTTTTAACACATGGTACTTGTCAGTTAGAACGACACAGTCCAACTGGACCTTCTTCTTCTTCGGGTTCCTTCTCCTAGCGGAGGTTGGAAATCATCATCGCTATTTTAACTTTGTTGGCCGTATTTCTGAATAATTCTAATGAGCTGCAGCCGAACCACTCTCTCAAATTTCTTAGCCAGGACATTTTGCGTCGTCCTGGGTTTCTCTTCCCTTGTATCTTCCCTTGCATAATCAACCTCAGTAATACGTACTTCTCACCCCTCATTAAATGTCCCAGATATTGAATCCTTCTAATTTTAACAGTTTTTATGACTTCACATTCTTTCTTCATTCTTTGTAACACCTCTATATTAGTTACTTTTTCAATCCACGATATTTTATGCATTCTCCTGTAGCACCACATCTCAAAGGAGTTTAATTTTTTGATTTCAGACTGCTTTATTGTCCACGCTTCCATGCCATATAGTAAAGTAGAGAAGACGTAACAACGTAGCATTCTTGTGCGAATCTCTAGATTAAGGTTACGGTTGCAAAGTAATTTCCTCAATTTTATGAACGTGTTTCTTGCCATTTCTATTCTAGATCTGATATCCTTTACTTGATCTCCATCTTCGGTTAGCCACGTTCCTAAATATTTATATGTTTTTACTCTTTCTATCGTTGTATTATTGATGATCAGGTTATTTACATTTTGTGGTTTTTTTATGGTTGTATTATGTACTGTAGATCTTCCATGTCACTTGCAAATATGACAGTATCGTCGGCATATCTAATATTATTAATGCTATTTCCGTTGACATAAATACCTTCCACGATATCCAATAAAGCCTCTTGAAAAATCACTTCACTGAAGACGTTGAATAAGAGTGGTGAAAGGATACACCCTTGTCAAACTCCTCTAAGTATACTTACTTCCTCTGTCAGTTCTCCTTCGACTCTTACTTTTGCTTTCTGGTTTTGATACAGATTCGATATAATTTGTAGATCTCTACTATCAATGTTTTTAGTCTTAAGAATACTTAAAAGCTTCTCATGTTGAACTCTATCAAAAGCTTTCTTGAAATCTATAAAGCATATATGTCCTGATTCATATCCAGGCATCGTTGTGTCAGAACATGGACTCCAAATAATGCTTCTCTAGTTCCTAGACCCTTTCTGAAACCCATCTGTGAATCACTTATTTCTTGTTCTAATTTCATGTGGATTCTGTTATGTATGATTTTAAGGAAGGTTTTCAATGTGTGGCTCATTAACGCAATTGGACCTACAGACTAGTAAAAATATATTAGTTTCTTTAATAAATTTCAAAAAAATAACTCGGGCCATAATGGGTTAATTCTGTTGTTTGTATATTTTTTCCTAATTTAATCTCATGGCCCAGACACTTAAAAAAGGTATACATTTGTTCAGTTTGCGTTCAATTAGTTCAAATTTTTGCAAGTAAAAGGTTTGTCATGTATTGTGTTTTAGATACTTTAATTTTAAATCCAGCTCATGTTAAAGAACTCTGAAGCTCTTGAATATGTTGGCAGGCATGGTCTATATGATCTGCAATAAAGACTATGTCGTCTGCAAATCTTAAGCTGTTTAGAAAGTCTCCATTTATGTTGACTTCAACATTTTCTAAACAATGTTTCTTATATCACTCTGTAATAAAGAGCTAAATAGTTTAGCAGATAGGGTATCTCAATTGAGCTTTTTTGTCTGTGTGGATACTAGGTAGGTGCGTAAACCTGGATGATCTCTAATATAATGTTTTTGTTTACCTTGTAGATACGATATATTACTATATCACATAAGATTTTAATTGTGAGTATATTCTTTGTGTTTTTTTTGCAGTTTCGTTTGCTTTATTTGCCGTGGTTGTTCATTAGGTCCATCTAGTCTACTATGGGGAATCTCAGCACACTCTGTTCATTTACATCCGAGACTGCTACCATATCCCTTACTACCGGAGACGTAGAGCCTTGTATTTTCGTCGTTTCTAATTTTACGGGAATTTTTGATCATTTGCCTCTGGTTGGTAACTAGTACACTAAGCCGGGTGTACGGACGCATTCTTAGAAATCTCATTGAGATGGAGTATAGGGAACAAGAAGAAGAAGAACAGGCTGGTTTCCGAGCTGGAAGAACTTGCACAGATAATGTCTTCTGCCTAAAACAATTAATTGAAAAAAAATTAGCAACCAATCAAGAGACCCATCTCATGTTTGTTGATCTCTGCAAAGCATACGACAGCGTGCCTGTGACTAAATTGTGGAAATCACTACAAGAAACTAACATTAGCTACACTTTAATCAAAGCCTTAAAAAATCTATATGAAAATTCTACATCACAAGTAAAAATTGGCAACACACTATCTAAAAAGTTCATCGTTAACAAGGGTCTGCGCCAGGGCTGCTGTATTTCACCAACGTTGTTAAAGATATATATTGCAAAAGCACTAAACCAGTGGAAACGTAAATGTCACGGTATGGGTATAGACCTCGGAGATGTTTGTTTATATACCTTACAATTTGCTGATGACCAAGTCATCATAGCCAATGATAAAGACGATTTAGAGTATATGGCAAGAAAACTAAAGGAAGAATATGAACAGTGGGGATTGGAAATAAATGTAGAAAAAACTAAATACCTCCCATAGGAGCTGAGTTATCCAATATCGAACTAGAGAATAATGAAGAAATCACATCCTGTAGTGAATATACGTACCTGGGAGTAATCTTCGATAGAACGGGAAAAGACGATGAGGAAATAAAGAAAAGGGTTACACAAGCTAGAAGAACAATTAGCTGCCTAAATGGAATACTTTAGAGCTCTGAAATAGGAATAAAGCAAAAATATAACATCTATGAGTCAATAGTTAAAAACAGTCTACTTTACGGAGCAGAAACTTGGAGAATAACCGAGAACAACAGAAAAAAATTAGAAGCTGTAGAAATGGATGTGTTTAGAAGATCGTTAGGTATATCCTGCAGGGAAAGAGTTTGAAATGAGGAAGAAAGACGAAGATTTGGAATAGATGGTTACTTAACAACAGACATTGAGAGGAAACAGTTGATTTGGTATGGTCATGTTCAAAGAATGGAAGACACAAGACTACCCAAGAAGATTATACAGTGGGTACCACCAAACCGCAAAAAACGAGGAAGACCCAAAAAGACATGAAAAGAAGGGGTAACTAAAGCAATGAGTACAAGAGATCTTAGAGACGGCCAATGGGTTGATAGAAGGACGTGGAAGTTAGGCATCGGACAACGTCGAAAGACTTTCTAAATATATATATATATATATATATATATATATATATATATATATATATATATACATATATATATATATATATATATACATATATATATATATATATATATATATATATATATATATATATATATATATATATATATATATAAATGGTAAAACGATATTACGATTGGTAACGAAATTTGACGTCATCGACAAGAATGGTAGGTTGGGACATGGTATGCTCTTAGTTATAAAAAGTGATAATAAACCACGGCTCAGTTAGGCAGGGTTGCGACCCTGAACTATACTTATTTTTCCCAGGAACGAAAAGTGTAACTACCTGCGACCCTCGATATTATTGAATATTTAGCTAATTGTGCTAGTAACAAGGATACCATCGTAGTTATCATATTGACTTCTGCTGCATTTTTTATGGATTGTCGGTTTTCCGGTTTTCCGGTTCATGAGCTTTCATAACTTTAACTCTTCTATATTTAGTTTCTTATGATTTTGCTTTATTTATAATTTGTTAGATACAGTCGTAATCTAGCTATATAAGAGCTAGATATAGCTAGCTAAATAAAAAATATATCGGCATTTGGGTATGCTTATATTGTCTGTGTTAAGTTTATCCATCAATTCCATCTCTAAAAGTATATTATATGAAAGGTACTAAAATAAACCTACTACAACTAAATACCTACTACCTACTAAATAAATATTAACTAAATATATTTTTTTAAGATATGTTGCTGATAGCCTTGTTGTTGATGTTATATCCAAACGAAGGAATTTGTGGATCTTGTTCGTTCAGTGGCCATACCTTTTACTGCAGCAAAATAAATCAGGGCCAGTTTATATACGAAATATTTAGACAAGAAGAGTATTTATCAAGTAATTATGTAAATACGATAATAATTGAGGACTCCAATTTTGAGACCATTGATGACTTCCCTAATTTAAGTGATTTATTGCCAAATATAACTATAACAGATTTAGCCATCCGCCGATCATCTATAAGAAGTATATCTGACAGCATCTTCAACGTGTTTAATCAGTTGGTAAATCTTGATTTAAGTGAAAATTACATAGAAAATGTTACGTTTTGCGCTGATTTATCAGTTTCCGTTCAGACGCTAAATTTAAGTCACAATAATATTTCTATTATTGATATAAGCAAAAGACAAGTAGTTTTAGATTACCTAGATTTAAGTTATAATAATCTTACCGAATACACTGAGTCTTCGACTGATCGGGATTTCGTGGGAAAGTCTCTTGACCTAAGCTATAATACCTATTTAACTAACGTTTCTCTTTTAGAAAAAAATGTTCTATACATTTTAGGATGTAATATTAAAAATTTTGTCGATGACTTGACGGTAAAAAAAATATTTACTGACTTTTTACCTTACCATTACATTAATGTAGTTGATTTGTTTACAATTTCTAATACAAATTTAAATTCCTTATCAACTGAAAATTCAAAACTCATAATATCCTGTGAAAGTAATCACACTGTGTTAGATTTTTCTAATACCAATCTAACGAAAATTGAAAAAAATTTTTTTGATAATATTACTGCGGGTGCCTGTTTTGAACTAAATCTTAGTTTCAATAACCTCTCTAATTTAAAGGACAGTATATTAGGAAAAGCAGGAATTAAAAAAATAGATCTATCATTTTCTGAATTAAAAGATATTAATTTCGAAGTTTTTGAATCATATAATCGTATAGCTGAAATAAATTTAACAGGAAATTATTTAGAAAGGAGTATTTGTGGTGGAGACATTGTTTTATATAGTATGTATTCTCTAGACATGTCGTTAAATAGTCTAACAGAAGTTAATTCATATATATTTCGAAATTGTATTAATTTAAAATACATAAATATGTCACAGTGCCTTATAGAGTATGTTGCATCCGATAGTTTTAAATCATTGCAGAAATTAGAATCTATCAATCTAAGTAATAACAAAATAATTGCCATAGAATCAGATACTTTCCACAACCTGCAAAATTTAATAGTTTTAGATATATCTGAAAACAATTTAGAATCCATCAAGGAAAACGCCATCTCCAACTTAGATTCTCTTGAGGAAATCTTAGTTTCTAGGAATAATTTTTATGAAACTCATAAACTAACTATTTACAGTGGTGCTTTTCAAGACCTAAGTAAACTTAAAGAACTGCGACTTTCTGAATTAGGAATTGTCAAAATTATGCCCGGAGCTTTTAAAAATCTTTTAAACTTAAATATCATTGATTTAAGGAATAATGATTTCACTGCCATTGATAGTGTTTTTTCTAATATCCAGACTCAAGCATTATATTTAGGTAAAATATCTGATCCACTGCATTTTGATTCATCCGTTAACATTACTAACTTGTTCCTACAAACCGATTACCAAGAAATATTAGAAGAACAATTTATTGTTAGCATCAACTTGAAGCATTTACATATTTTGGATTCTACTATTTCGCATATATCGGATAATTTTCTATTGGGCTCATATAAATTAGAATATATACACTTTGAAAATACAACTGTAAAATCTGCAGGTTCCAAAGTTTTTGCTGGTTTATTTAACTTGTTGGATTTAAATGCAACAATTTTCTTCAACGAGATAGAAGTTCTCGAAGATAATATGTTCAATGATTTATTTAATCTAAAATCTCTACATATATCAAATGGTAAGTTGACGAAAATCAAAAAAGATGCTTTTTTTGGGCTAAACAACTTACAAAATTTATTTTTAAATAACAATCAGATTGATCAGTTGGATCTAACACCTTTCAGGAATCTTAATCTATCTCTATTAGATTTATCAAACAACGCTTTCGAAACTATAGATATAAAATCTATAACTAGAAGCCTACCTTATTTGAAAACTTTGGATCTTGGTGATTGTCAACTAAAAAATTTGAGTGTAACCAATACGATAGTGAACGAAAACTTGGAAACCTTGATTTTATCTAACAATATGTTAACTGATATACCTTATTTGATTGTTGAGTCATTTCCAAACTTACGGATTTTACATATTAACCAAAACATGTTATCAGAAATCCGCCCTCCACATAATTGCCCAAATATAACGGAAATAAGAGCAGATGGCAACAATTTAATAAATTTGTATGAACTTAGTGATAAAAATAAATTGAAATTTTTAAATATCTCCGATAACCCAAATTTGGGTATATACGTGGACCTAACTTATTTAGGAGCACTTCCAGACTTGGAAACATACTTAATGGATAATACTGACATAAGACTAAGATTTGATCTAGTTAGTAATTACTTTCCTAGTTTACAAAAGGTAGGACTTAACTATAACCATTACCATTGCGATGATTTACAAAATCTTTTACAAAAACTGGACAAAAGAAATATAAGTTATGTACCGAATAATCCTAGGTATGACATTGATAATGTCGAAGGAATAACTTGTTCAAATAAAACAACATTATTATCAACGTAATCATCATCAGCTATCACAACCACGTTCTTTACACTCTCGACCATAGACAAAACATTATAGGTCCCACATCTTAACAGTTTTAGTAATTTAGTTTATTTAGTGAGTTGCTTAATGTATAGGAAGGGTATAGGAAAAAAAAACAATTAAAATAGCAAAGAGAAATATAACTTTATCGTGTATAATTCAAAAACAAAATGGAAGAAAGCGGATATTATAAATGATGCAAGGAAACACAAGGTATACCAAGAGATACCAGTCTTTATCTACATGACAATTATGTAATTTAAAAATGGTTTTTTAGGTTTGAACTAATGTTTAATTATTATCTGAACATGTCAGGTTTTGGTACCAATAAAAGAGGTATTTAGAAATAGATCTAGGTCAAGATTAGATTACTATGATGTTATTTAAAAGAAATTGCGATTTTCGTTTCATGCGATACAAGACCCAGAATTAGGAAGGCCTATTATGTATGTACATCATACCTCTCCTAATTCTGGCCATTCATCTCTGTTATGTGTAAGACGTTTCCACATTGGCCCTGCAGTTCTTTTAATATTATCGCTACATCGCATATTCGATCTTCCTCGTGGTCTTTTGGCTTCATATGGCAGCCAATTCCCGATTTCTTTATTTTATCGGCCATCCGTAAGATTACTGTTATGTCCAGCCCATTTCCATTTCAGTTTAGCTGCGTGTTCGACAGCTTATTTTACTTTTGTTCTATTACGAATGTCTTTATTGGTTTTATGGCCTTTAACTGAGATACCCAGCATCTGTCGTTCCATAGCTCTCTGAGTTTTTCTGATTTTCTCCATGTTAATTTAGTGAAAGTCCAGGTTTGAGCTCCATATGTAAGCACAGGTAGGATACAGGAATAAAACACTTTGATTCGCAGTCTTTGAGAGTCTTCCGATAGCTGCCCATCCCATTTTTACACGTCTGCTTATTTCGGTAGTCTAATTTTCTTTGCTTACCTTGACATTGTGACCCAGTTGTGTATATTCATTTACGTGTTCTATCTCTGTCCCTTCGATGTTTATCATAGGTTTGTCATCTTTGTTTGACTTTAGTTTAGTTTTGCTGAAATTCATTTTCAGTCCATTTTTTGGGGATTCTGTGTACAGCTCCTCAATCATCGTATTCAGTGCATTCCACGTGTCTTCTATTAATACTACATCATATGCGTATCTAAGATGGTTCAAGTATCTTCCGTTAATAGGGATTCCTTTATTTTCCCAGTCTATTGACTTAAAGATATCTTCTAAGGCAGCTGTAAATAATTTTGGAGATAGTGTGTCTCATAACGAGTAGCATCAAAGAAGCAGCAGAGGAGGTCATTGGACTAAAAACTAATTCCGTTAGTAAAAAACTTTGGTGGAATCAAGAAATTAAAGAACTAGTACTCCGAAAGAAAAAAGCATACCACAAATGGCTAAACACTAAACAGGAGTTAGATAGAGAAGAATACAATGATATTAAAAGAACACATGAACGAATAAGAATAGTAAACACAACTAAACGAGAAATGTGGGACAAAAAATGCAAAGAGATAGACACTTATATGGGAGGTAAAAAATGCTCAGAGACGTGGAAATTACTGACAAAACTTAAATCAAATGAAAAAAGAGAAACAAACATACAATTAATAACAACAGAGAACTGGATCTGACTTTACGAAAATCTATTAACAGAAAACAGAGAGAAATATAGAGAAATGTCTCCAACTGAAATACACATACAGGGAGAAACGATAAACATCGATGAGAGGACTGTCATAAAAATGATACAACTACTAAAATATTGTCGAGCTGCAGGTCCGGAGGGAATTCCAGCAGAACTAATCAAATGTGGCACCAACAAACTGTTTGAACGATTAACCTGGTGTATAAACCAATATCTAAACGGTGCACCAGTCCCGCATAAATGGAAAGTATCTTTCATATCATCTATACATAAGAAAGGAAGTAAACTGGACTGCTCAAATTTTCGAGGCATATCAGTAACCAGTACCTTAAGTCGCCTATATGGAAGGATACTTTGAGACATTATCGAACAAGAATATATGGAACAAGAAGAAGAGTAACAATTTGGCTTTAGGGCGGGAAGGAGCTTCACCGATAATGTGTTTGTTTTGAAACAAATAATAGAAAAAAGATCAAGTACCAACCAAGAAACCCACCTTATGTTTATAGACCTTCAGAAGGCCTATGATACTGTACCCGCTAAAAAGCTATGGAAGTTTTGCAGGAAACAAACATTAACCACACAGTAATTAACGCCCTTAAATAGCTTTTTGAAGGATCAACGTCGGGAATAAAAAATGAAAATAGACTTTCAAAAAAATTTCCTATAAACAAGGGACTCCGGCAGGGGTGTTGCATATCCCCCACATTGTTTAAAATCTACGTGGCGAAAGCACTGTATCAGTGGAAGAGAAAGTGCAGAGGAATGGGCATTGACCTGGGAGAAACTTGCCTATATACCCTACAGTTTGCAGACGATCAAGTCCATATAGCCAACAATAAAGAAGACCTGACATATATGGCCAGAAAACTACAGGAAGAATACAAAAAGTGGGGTTTAGAACTCAATACACAAAAAACAAAATATCTCCCAATAGGCGTAGAACTATCCAACATTCAGATGGACACAACCGAAATTGCATTCTGCACTAAATATACCTACCTAGGAATTGATTTCGACACCACAGGCACAGACAATAGGGAAATTAGAAAACGAATAACATAGGCCCGTAGAACAATTGGATGCCTTAACGGAGTTCTTTGGAGCTCAGGAATTGGTAAAAGACGAAAATACAATATATATATATGAATCTCTCATAAAAACCAGCTTAACCTATGGTACAGAGACATGGAGACTAACAGAAAGCAATAAAAGAAAACTCGAAGCAACAGAAATGGATGTATTTAGACGATCACTTCAAATATCTAGGGCAGACAGAATTAGAAACGATGAAATAAGGAATCGGATGGGGGTAGATGGATCACTGGCAACAGACATAGAAAGGAAACAACTTAAATGGTATGGCCATGTTCAAAAAATGCCAGAAACAAGACTACCAAAAATCGCCATGAAATGGAGTGGATACCACCAAATCGTAAGAAACGAGGAAGACCAAAAAGAACATGGAAAGGGGGAATAACAAAAGAAATGAGCTGTCGAGACTTGACCGAAGAACAATGGAATGATAGAAATTCGTGGAAATTAGTGTCTCCTTGTCTTACTTCTCGGTTGATCTTTACTGGTCTTGTTTCGATTCTATTACCCAATGTCACTATCATTTTAGCTCGTGCGGAAATATTATAAAATATTAATAATAATAAAAATATAATATATTTAATAAAAAGCATTTGAACCACTTAATTAATTTTTTATACACCAGTAAACATTTTTTGGTTATCAATTTAAATCTGTCAAAAATATGTCGTAATTACGTGAAACTTAAGTATATTGTGTCACTTAGTATATTCTTGTATTCCTGTGCGGTTCTCTAGAGAAATTTGAAAATGGCTACAGTGAATTTTGAAAATTATCTTAAACTATCAATAAATAACTAGTTTCATTAAATCAGTTTAAGGAAATTGACAAAATAAATTAGTCTGTTCCAGCAATCGTATACAAGATAAAGACGATTAATCCTTTTTTTTTTCCACAGTAGTAATTAAATATTAAACATAGACTATTAACTATGCGACGCGCGAGGTAATAACAGAAAAATTTGCGGAATATACTGACGGACACAGGAGCTTTTAAATAAGATATTACTTATACAATATAATTTATTTTGAAGAATTGTAAAGATATTGTGTTTATTACTTTGAATATTATCGAAAATTTAATGATTTATGTGTTAAGGTTTAAAAAATATCAGCGGCGAGATTTTAAAGTTAGATTTTATATGATTATTACGTTATACTTGATTGTAATAAATGTAATCAAAACTATTTATGTGGTCTTAATAACTTTTTTTATATTTTTTAAATATTTAACAATACTATGTAAATAAAAAAATATTAACTCTTATACAATCTTTTATTTTCCTGTAATAATAATGTAGCTTAAAATATTCGCTGTTGTTAAAATATTCGCTTATTGAATTATCTTTTCTACTTAGCGTATAGATACTCCAGTAGTTTCGCTCACACGTTGTTTAATGTTGGTTCGAATTATCTTAGGAAACAGTATTGGTATATATTTAAATACTTTATAAAATATTTCTGTGGATTGCAGTGTCAATCTAATTATTTATTCCCTTCCATAAAATAATTCTGAACTGAGTAGGGGCTTCTCAGTACTTCTTGGAAAACACACTCGGAGGGGGGTAGCTCTCAACCCCGACACGGCGCGTCCCAATGGCTGATAGGGAACGTCCTACAGACATGTAGGACAGGTGCGAATAAGGCTTTGCCAAATAAACACCCGCGGATCAACTGAGAGCATGGCATAGGGCAGCAGCTATGTCATTACAGGATCAGAGCGGTAGAGACAAGATCTCTGTATCGGTCTGATACCGGATAGTCACGGGCGGTAATCAAATTATGATTTAACCGGTTGTGATACTGCGGTGCAGAAAGCAACGGGAAACTACTGCACTATATTTTCCCTAGTAAAGTAACCTATGCAAAACAAAAATTTAACGGCCCCTAGTCCGCGGCAGACCTTAAGTGGTCAGGGGGTGCAAAGAATCCCCGCGAGGAGGAACCACCCGAAAGTGGAATACATTAATAACCAATCCTTGGTACGAATAGGCACTTGGAACGTACAAAGTATGTTTGAACCCGGTAAAGTTCAAAATACCATTCGTGAAATGAAAAGACTTGGAGTGGACATACTAGGTATAAGTGAGATGAGATGGTTTGGTTCTGGAAATGTATCCATCGATGACTACACAATATACTACTCGGGGAACGAACAGCAGAGACACTGGAATGGTGTAGCCCTGATAGTAACAGAGCAGATAAAAAAAGCAGTAATTGATTTCATACCCTATTCTGATCGAATGCTTCTTTTGAAATTACAGAGTAAGCCCGTAAACATAAACATACTCCAAGTTTATGCACCAACTGCTGACAAGTCGGATGATGAAATAGAGCAGTTCTATGAGAATCTCCAAGAATTACTTAAAATGACAAAGAGTTATGAAACAACATTAATCGTAGGAGATTTTAATGCCAAAGTGGGTTGTGGAAAAGTGGAACATATTTGTGGAAATTACGGACTGGGCAATCGCAATGATAGAGGTGACAGACTACTACAATTTTGCCAGGAGAAACAACTAACTATCATGAACACCTGGTTCAAGCTACCACTACGGAGGCTATATACGTGGAAATCACCCGCAGATAATAAAAACAATTGTGTCCGAAATCAAATCGATTACATTATTATAAACGAGCGATATAAAAATGCAGTAACGGATACAAGAACATACCCAGGCGCAGATGTTCCATCGGATCACAACCTACTAGTAGCTAAATTAAAAATAAAGTTCAAAACGCTAAAAAAGACTGTCAAAAGAAAAACCGACATCAATTTACTTAAACAAGAAAATATACAAAGTATGGTAAAGACTAAACTCAACGAGGAATGTGAAAGACTCCAAAGAGAGTTATCACCAACTACAGAAGGCTTATGGACTGAAGTCAAGAATGCTTTTACTAGCGCCGAGAAATATATAAAAGACACTAATAACAAAAGAAAATCTAAACCCTGGATGACACAAAAAATTCTGGGAATGATGGATACTCGAAGAGCCTACAAAAATAAAGATAATGAAAAATATAGGGAGATACATCGTCAAATCAAGAAAGAAATAGCTACCGCAAAAGAAAATTGGATGATAGAAAACTGCCAAGAGATCGAAGAATTAATAAAGAAACACGACAGTCAAACGCTTCACAAAAAAATAAAAGATCTAGCTGGAATGACAAAACAAAGACTCCCTTGTAGATTAACAAACGACGAGAATGAAACGATATGGGAATTAAGCGATCTAAACAACGTATGGGGACATTACATAGAAGAACTATTCTCGGACACACCACTAAACAACATAATATATAAAAACCATGAAACCAGTCCTCCTATATTAAAACAAGAAGTAGAGAGAGCAATCAAAAACGCAAAAAATGGGAAAGCCCCTGGTCCCGATGACATACATACGGAAGTCATAAAGCTACTGGAAGAGAAACATTTAAATATAATCGTCAAATTATTTAATCAAATATATACAAGCGGTGAAATTCCACAAGACTGGTTAAAATCAGTCTTTATTCCCCTTCCAAAAACTAAGGGAGCAAAGAAGTGTGGTGATTTCAGACTTATTAGTTTAATGTCGCATATGTTAAAGTTATTCTTGAAAGTTATTCACCAACGCATTTATAAGAAATGTGAACAGGATATCAGTGATGAACAATTTGGCTTCCGAAATGGATTTGGGACACGGGAAGCATTAACCAGTTTTATTATACTGCTGCAAATATGTCGAGACCAAAAAAAGGATCTCTTTTTATGTTTTATTGACTATCAAAAGGCCTTCGACAAAGTAAAACATGATAAACTGATGGATTGCCTTCACAAAAAGGGACTAGACGAGAACGATTTTAAAATTATCCAAACACTGTATTTTAACCAAACTGCAGCAGTTAGAACAGAAGCCGGTGACACAGAAATATTCAATATCAAGCGAGGTGTACGACAGGGGTGTGTATTGTCACCACTACTTTTCAATTTATATTCGGAAGAAATCTTTGCACGAGCACTAGAGCAATCAAGAGAAGGTGTTAAAATTAACGGCAGAGTTCTAAATAATGTACGATACGCCGACGACACGGTCCTAATTGCAGAGAGCGCACAGGATCTCCAGACACTCTTAGATCGCGTCAGATCGATCGGAGAACAATACGGCCTCAGCATTAACGTCAAGAAAACAAAAACAATGATTGTCTCCAAAACATCCATCCATCCACCCATGGCTTTAAACGTGAATGGTAACATTATCGAAAATGTCGAGAAATTTCGATATCTAGGGTGCTGGATAACGAAAGATATAGATCCAGACATAGAAATAAAATCGCGAATTGAACAAGCAAGAAATGTCTTTTTAAAAATGAAACAAATGTTTACGTCCCAAACACTCAATCTCAAAATCCGATACCGAATGCTGAAATGTTACGTTTACAGCACCTTACTATATGGAATGGAGGCCTGGACCTTCAAAATCAACTCACTAAGGCGTTTGGAAAGTTTTGAAATGTGGTTATTTCGAAGGATGCTGAAAGTCCCCTGGACAGCGCATATGAGCAACGAGCAGGTCCTACACAAGATGGGTACCGACAGAGAACTCTTAAAAATAATGAAAACACGGAAAACCTCATATTTGGGACACATATACAGAAATGAGAAATACCAGCTACTGCAGCTTCTTATAGAGGGGAAGGTAGAAGGAAAGCGTGGTCCTGGTAGACGGCAGGCGTCCTGGTTGAAGAACATTCGTGAGTGGACTGGTTTGGATTCTCAATCTTTAATAAGAAAAGCCAGGGACAGAAATGATTTTGCTGAGGTTATCGCCAACCTTCATTGAAGACGGCACCCAAAGAAGAAGAAGAATAATGTAGCATTTTTAAATTCCTTGGTATGTATTGGAATCCCCTCGTATATGTAATATATTAAAATCCCTTCATATACGATTTAAAATAATGAAGAATGTTTTCCATGTTTCTCTGTTTCTATCGTACGAGTTAAAACCCAAATAGTATTTCATTCTTTTTACGTCGCCGAAGTTAATATAAACACATATTACAATTTGTTTATATTTCACAGATGCGTATTTTGTCGCATTGTTGTATTTTTGTATAAGCTTTATATACGCGATTTTGTGTATGCTTCAAAAGATAATTGAAGTTCTCCATAAGATCGAAGTCGACTACAGAGACATTCGAACAACAGCGAGTCTCTATTGTGGTCAAACAGCTAAAGTGAAAGTAGGATCTACATTGACCAATAAAATTGAGATCAAGAAAGGGGTACGGCAGGGCTGTATCTTGTCTCCAATTCTCTTTAATATATACTCAGAAGAAGTATTTAAAACAGCGGTGGAGGAAAGCACAGAAGGTATAAAGATAACTGGAGAAATATTTAATAACATGTGATGCTGATGACACTGTGATTCTAGCAAGTAGTATGGAGGAACTAAGTTACCTAATGAGTAAGATACAAAAAACAAGTTCACAATACGGACTCAGACTAAATATCACAAAAACCAAATGGATGTTAGTAAGCAAAACCCAACAACCACCACAGCAACTGATATTAGACAATGAAAGAATTGAACACGTGGATTCGTACATCTACTTGGGAACAACAGTTAACTCAAATTGGGATCAAGCGAAAGAAATGCTTATAAGAGTAGAATAGGCAAGAGCATCGTTTACTAGCATGAAGCAAATTTTCACCTCTAAAAGCCTCACCCTACATCTCAAAATTCGACTTCTGAAATGATATGTATTCCCGGTTTTGTTATATGGAATGGAGGCGTGGACAATGACCGCAACATTGATAACAAAAGTAGAGGTTTTTGGCCTCTTGTGGCCTTACGAAATGTGGGCTTACCGACGTATATTATGTATATCCTGGACTCAGCACGTGACCAACGAATAGGTACTACACCGGTTAGGTAAAGAGTGAGAGGTAGGAATAAGTATAAAGAAAAGAAAGTTGGAATACTTGGGTCACGTTATAAGACATAATAAATATAGAGTACTGCAGCTGATCGTTCAAGAGAAAATAGACAGCAGAAGGGGTCCAGGGAAGAGAAGACACTCGTGGCTATAAAATTTGCGACAATGGTTCGGATTGTTCTCTGCTGAACTATTCAGATCTGCCGTAAACAAAGTCAGAAGAGCCATGTTGATTGCCAACGTTCGGAACGGATAAGGCACATGAAGAAGAAGAAGTATTTTGTCGGTATTCTTTGATCGAAGCCTCTTTTAGGATATTTTGCGTTTGAGCTCCCGTTGTAA